ATATTATACACACACACCACACATACACACATATACATGTACGTCGGAATTAAAGAGAGTGATCAGCACGTCTAATAAGCGATTAGCTCGCACCGACTGTCATTTGATCTAAAGAAACAGATCTGTGAAGTCTTTAGATCATCCACTTCTCATCCGATTAATTTGAAACTTTTTATATTCTCTATGCAAATAAATAATGAAAGTTGTTTCAAGATTTTTCATTGCTCTATTCCTCACATTTCGTCGTTATTGTATTACAGTACAATAAAATATTATCTTCAATTTTACCCTTTAATATATATTCTATATTTCATATATATATTTTCTAATATGTATTTCTTTCATTTATATTTTTTATTATATAAAACGTTATTTTTTTAATATTTTATTTTAGAATTTAGACATCTAATTTTTCAAAATGTTTTTTATAAATAACTGTTGAATTTTTAAAATTATACAGGATTTTATTAAAAAATCGCGATTTCTCTGATTTTTTAAAATATCGCGTATTATTTTCCATTATATTTTCCACGATTTTCACAGACTTTTTTTAACGTTTATTTGAAACATATTATTAATGCCAGCGCGCTGGCATGTGTATATATTATACATATATAAAGCAGATTAACATACAAGAACGCGATGCACGGATTTGAAGTAGCGAGAATCACACGAGTCACCTCTCTCACACGAATGCCAAATTACACGTGTAAGAGATTACAACCAACGGTATATAGCGACATGTGTACATAGATAGCGGCGTTGATAGAATTTGTACAGAACACAATTAATTGTCTATCCTAAGTCTACGGATTATTGTAAAGTAACAATAAGATAAATAATCTTACGCGGCTCCGAAACGAAGGAAGAGAGAATGTATTTTAACGAACGAGCTTCGCGTGCCCGAAGGCACTTCGCGATATATTGTTATACGTTTTGTCAGCCGAACGGGATGCCTTTATCTTGACGAAATTATTGATTCATGTTATCTTTCTCCCTCTCGAAAGTGAGAGAAATAGAGATGTACAATTAAAAACTGACATGAAACATCCATTCTTCAAGTGTTTCACGATAGGGCGCGCCGATTCACTGGCAAACTCATGATTGATTATTATACTGGAGTAAAAAAGGAAATGAAAAATAAATGCTAGGTCGTAAATATTTAATGTACGCAATTCACCAAAATGCCAGCCAGTAAAACCAGATCGCGTACTTGGGTTGTACAATAGTGCGAGAATATTTCTACGATTTTCCATTGATTTTATAATAAATCCACGAAAGATCGTTTTACATTTAACTAAGTATAATGTAATATAACGTGTTGGCCTAAGTATAAGAATACTAGTCATTCTTCGCATTTTCTCTGAAAGGATCTTTTTATCTTAAACGCAATTATGCAATGCAAAGAAATTTATGCTATATTTTATTGCGTATTATTCTTGATAAATTCTTTTTATGTGTGCATGCACATGGTGTCGTTTAAAAAAAAACATATATATAGTATAGATACTCAGCTTGCGAGCTAAACATTTTCCATCACCTCGTTGAGTAAGACAGATAGAAAAAAAAACAGACGCTAGACAATTAGTTATTGCTGATAGAACATCTATTCTTTTTCGCATCGTTTCAACGAGAGAGAAAAGTGTTTAGCTCGCAAGTTGAGTTTTTTAACAATCCTATATAATATCGAATTTTTTCTATCTTTTTAATATCAAAGTTAAAGTTTTAAATTCCCAGAAAATAGTTCATTAATATACATTAATTTGTACGAATATTTGTTATTATGATTTTCGATACATTTGATTGATACATTATAATTCATATCGGGAGATTTATCTGAGAATGTTTACTGCTCTTCTAACAAACCGAATTACTTTTATATATTGTTTCGAAACAAATTGAATTCATATTTAGCGATATAACACCGAAAAAGGCACTCAATCATGTTGTAATTATGTTATAATTTATAAGATAAACATAACCATGTTGAAAAAACCTCGTCAAAACAGATATGAAAGTCCGCACCTATTTAACTATCACAGAGTCGACTAACGTTGAATGAAAACAAAATCCAAGGCACAGCAATACACAATAATTATATAAAAGCGTAGAGGTGAGAGAAATTAATTTCTCAAACGGAAGTACGATAAATGCCACACGTCTTTGTGTTCATACAATATTCTCACATTTGTAGAAATTGTGTTCACTGCGCATTTACACAATAGCTGGCTTTTCGTCTGAAAAGCATACCGATTTTACACAAACGTGCGACCTACGAAAGAAAAATACGTGTTACATGTACATGTATTAGCCGCGTATATAAAAATATATATATATAAGTCACAATAAATAGTCAATTGTTTCATATAAAGTCTAAATAAAGTAAAATGAAACACTAATTGTCCTTCTGTTTAGTTTCAGGCTAGTTCTCATAATGAGAAATTTTTTTAGATTATATGCTTAATTTTAAAAATTACAAAGAAATAAAAAAGGTGACATATTGAATAGCAAAGCAAGACAAAGAGATGGATAAAAGTTGCAGTTGCTTTCAGTGCCGCATTAATGAAAAAGGTAATTACACTTTAATAATTACAATTACAGCCTAATTATATAAATATTTGATTCAATAAACATATATAAACATATTTTTTTTAATTAATGTGCAATATTCTATATTATATACTAATATTTCTGGTTTTATTACGAATTTATTATGTATCACTAACGTACAGCAATATCAAATGCATTATTACGTTAATGAAGTATTTAAAAATAATGCAGTAATCGTAGTTTTGTCAATTACTTGAAACAATTTCATTAGAAAGAAAACTAAAAAAATTTGAATTCACAGTTAATTAAATTAATACATATGTATCATTAAGTCTTTTATATATACAAAATCTTTAAAAAAATATATATTTAAATTAATTTATATTTGTCATTTGCTCGTTTTTAATCTCACATGGAATTACGAGAAAGCACAAGATATAGCATCATCAAATTAAATTAAGTATTATAATTAAAATCTCATTCTCATTTTTTTTAAATATTAAAATCTACAATACTCAAAATATATTACTATATAAAACTTGTATATCAAGTATGCATGCGTGCTCTCACGCGACACTTTGTTTTTATCACACAAAAAAATACGAATATTTTCTATATTGTTTTGTGTGTATAAATGCGATCTCGCCCCAGCACTGGCAAACGAATCGTGTTCAGAAAAAGGAGACTCCGCCGTTGCGGTATGCACCGACACCCGGCTGATGGCATCCGCAGAGTGCATCCACCCTCAACATTCGTCTCGCGAATTCTCTAGACTCGAATGCGTAGGCATTTATTTGGAGTAATACGAGCCGCTCGGATTATACAAGGAACCGTCGGGATAAAGCGCAACGTTAACGTCTCGCTTTCGTTAATCGAAAGAAACGCTTCCAGGAACGTGGATAAGAAAGAAGAGTATTAAGAAATTATAAGAAAAATGAATAATTGTCCTCTTAAGAAAATCCTGATTTGACATTCAAAATCGAAATATTAAATTAAAAAATAAGGCTACGAGCCAAGCCAGGTCTTAATGCTGTGTTAATTAAAAAAAACATAAGCATTATTTCATTTAAATCTTCTCATAAATTAATATATTAATTTGTGAGAAGATTTATTATGAAAAAATTATTATGATATTATAAATATGAGAATATTACACACATAATAAATATAGCTTCATTAAAAAAGAACATAATTTATTCACATGTAAGTATGAACGTAATCTACATACATAATGTGTGTAGCTACATATGTGTATATATTATATAGTAAAAACGTATGAGACAAACATTAAAAGTAACATATTTTAATAATATAGATATCATTTAAAGATTTTAACAAGTATAGTCTGACGTAAAAGAAAGAGGAAAGATGAGGAGATCAATATGTGTGTGTGTGTGTGTGTGTGTGTGTGTGTGTGTGTGTGTGTGTGTGTGTGTGTGTGTGTGTGTGTGTGTGTATATATATATAAAATTAATAATTAATAACATATGGGGATAAAAAGTAATTGGCTCTAAGTAACATTGTTTCATTTTTCTATACGATTGTGATATCTAATAAAATATATACAATTGCGTTAGATTCGATATTACATTAAAAACAAATAAAATGTATATACTATTATATATTCACATATAGACACAAAAATCTCAAGTATTATTTTGAAAAGGAGTTAAATTTTAACTCCATAATAACAGCGCTGTGGCATACAATGTTCAATTAATGCATCTATACCGTAATATAGTAACACAACTTGATTAAAATTTATAATATATCAACTATCGCGCATGCGCGCGTTTATACATTAACAATCAATAGTCGGACAATATTTTAAAACTCGTTCAGCAGAATCTAAAAATTCAAAAGATTTTTCCTATACATATTAGATAGAGTTCATTGATCCCTATTAATTACCATGTTTTTGTTAATTATGTTGATATCCTGATTATAATCACCTTCGTGAACAACTGAACCAACAATCTGATATTCCAAATGCAAACTTTAATCTTTCAATTATGCATATCTTCTAACCGTATATTTATATATCTTCATTAACAATTTAACAATCTAAATATTGCAGGATACAAATTTCAACGATTTTTATGAAATTAAATTTGAGCGTTTTATTTATTATTACGCGCGAAATTAGATATGTACTTTCACTAAATATATTTTTTAAATAATTCCATGTGCTTCATCACATCTGTACACAAAGTAAGAAAATAATTATTAATGCAATCGTAAAGAATGTAATTCTAACAAAAAAGGAATTATTCTGAACTAAAAGAAAAATCTAACTATATATAATTAAACATATAATACAGAAAATCTGTACAATTTTAGAAATATATTTCTAGTTTTTAAAACTCTTTATTACCTACCAAAAGAAAATTCGCAAACACAACCATGGCTTGAATAATGCAAAATATAAAATTTATAACTGTAAAGACAGTACTATAATCTATATTTAATATATCCATTTGGATACATATAAATATTAAAATAACAAAAACTAAAACGTAATATAGTGATCACATAAAAACAAAAATATTCTATAAGTTAGAATATTACCTTACAATGTTTTAGTAATTTGAAGTTTTAAGTAATTTATCTGTTCTAATATATCAATAGATACGGTTAATTTTTCTATATATGCATAACAATATTCACACATCGATAGACAATGCAATTTACGGTATTCAAGTTCCTTAATGACTGACCGATAAATTGGACCAAGAAACTTTACAGTAAAAGGATAATTATCTTAATGCCCTAAGCGTATTTTACTTTCATTAAAATTAGGAACAAAACCGTAAAAATGCCTCAGATTACCCACTATATTTTCATATTTTTAAATGCCAGTTAAGAACACACGAATATCTTTACGTATGTACTGTCTTGGAGTATCAAACTGAGATTCGTCTAGAATAAAAAGAAAACTATAAAACATATGTCTTAAATTTACGTGGGTATATTATGTAATATTGCAGAAGCAGAATTCAGAAGGCCTAGCCGTTGCTTCTGCTTTCGTTGCTCCGTCATCTATTATGAAGAAAGAAAATTAAATGATATATATTTAATATCATTTGATTGCTCAATCTCTTCTCATTAATCTTCGAAGTAATTTGAAGAATTAGTAATTATTACCTGATCACGAAGCTCCATAAGTTGTTGGGACAGACATCTAACTAACATCTGTGTAGATTCTAATTGTGACTGCAGACTCCTTAATTCCACTTGTTCTCCTTCACCTTCATCCGCCGCTAATGACTTGGCTCGCAATCTCGGGAACCATTCCAGATTCCGATCCTGTGAAAGTACATAGAGCTTAAAGGTACAAGCATCGCCCAAGTTTTTCAAGCTCTATGAACTATTACCTTAACCATGGCATAAACGTACGACTCCGGACCCGTGAATTCTGTCGGGTCCTTTACTTTCACCAAGACAATGAAATAGAGATAATGCCACATGTTATGTTCGTGTTTGATGTGTTCCTCAAAGGAAACTATTTTGTTGTCGAAAGCTGATCTGTTCAAGCCTATATAATAAAAAAAAATAATTCAATATAAGATCGTAAAATATACTATATCTTATAATATGTGAAAGTTATAAAATCAATAAATAATTACCACAAATAAAACAAGTATTTTTCAAAATTAATTCTTTCTGTTGTTTCTCCGATCTAAGATCCGCAAATGTATCAATAATCACACCAAAGATGAGATTCAGAACGATAATTATCACAATGAAGAAGAATAGTAAATCATATACAACTCTTGCAACAAATAAAGGTTCCTGGAATATAACACGAATTTTTATGAGGTAAGTTTATCATTATTGACACTTTGTGTCATGAATATCTTTGTACTTACAACACTAGAAGGTGCTCGCAAAATATCTCCTATTCCACCACCATTCCTCAATCCTTGATTTAACGTGGTAACGATGCACATGACGAGTGAATCACATGTTCGTTCTTTTAATTCTCCGCCAACATTAACTATTTCGGGTTTATTCTCTCGTACATTTGCTGAATTATTAATTTATTTCAATACATTTTCACATCAAATAAAAAAATATATTATATTATTACAATATATATATATCTACCTTCGCTAGCATAACGTGATATAGTCTCTGTAGCGTCACAGTTTTCTTTGCTGCCAGCGCTACAAGTATTCGCGATTTTTTGCTCAATGGAAGCTATAAAAAAAATAATTTTTAAATGAATGTATGTTAAAAAAATGAAAATCTATATGTAAAAAAACTAGCAAGAGATTGAACTTACATATAATCTCCTCGTCTACAGGAACAAGGAAGTCGTCCTTGAAAAACATAAAACCAATAATGGAAAACATATAAACTAAAATCAAGGCGAGCACAGCCGTGAGTATAATAGATCTTCCATTTCGAGTTACAGATTTTATTACATTGAGCAAAGTCTCCTCGCGATAGACTACATCGAAGAGCTGAAAAGAATAACAATATAATTCTGCATTATAATTCTTCATATTGTGAAAAGAATACAAATCAGTCACTTACTAAAACTGAATAGAAAAATGGATGCATAAAAAGTCCCAGAACACAAAATGTTATATATGACATATGGTACAAAAGTTCAATATTTGTTATTATTTGCTCTACGCTTCTAGTCAGGGTACCCTGATTACCTATAGTACTTATAAGATGTACAACTTTTAATGTAATCTGAAACATATAATTATGATGCATTTAGTAATGAGTAAAGATAATATATCTTACACAAACATGTTTGAATTTTATGTCTTTACCGTAACAAAACCGAGCAGCCACAGTGTCGGTTCTGGACCTACGGAAAAAATCAATCGCAATATCGTTGATGCAACAAATGTACGTATACCGGACTCCCTTGGCAGCGTAATAACAATAGCAGCAGATGCAAGCATGACTGTCCAAATTAAAGCTGATAAATGATAACTGAGTTCTAAACAAAACAAAGACAGATATCATTTGTTATTTTTTAAGATATAGTATCCAAGAGATTTGAACCTCATTAATTATAAAACTTACTAGGCACAGAATCTACAAATGGATAGAAAAACGCTACAATAAGATTTATAAGAACGGCGCAATTGAATAAAATGTTACTCCATAGCGACATATAACTGCTCATCCAGAACAACATTGGTTGACCTATTAAAAATAAGAATTTATATAATTTATATTATATTATATTATATAATAATACAAAATCATATAATATTGTATTTCAATTTATTTAATTAAGCATACCCCTAAGTTTCTTTTGCCATTTCATTTCATTAAACATGTCTTCCGTTCTCTCGAAGAAATCGGAAACTTTTGATCCTTGATCATCTCGCTCTGTAGTATTCAGGACTCTTATTTTTGTATCCATGGTTATAAGTTCACAAATTTCCGGTATCGGGAAGACAATTTGTTCAAGTGTTCTATCATGTCTTACAATCTGAAATATAAAAATATTAACATATTAAGACAAATTCTTTTCAAAACAAATTCTATCTTTATTTATTTGTACAGAAACCACAGTACCTCTATTTGAGCTGTATGAGATGCATAATATTCTAGTGCTTTGTTAATTTTTGGATCCGCATTATTCTGTTCTGACGGCTTCAACATCACTGCTAATTCTTTGTTGTGTTGCGCTAATTGATGACACAAAATATAGATATTATGCCCAACCTGCAATAAGAAAGTACATGGAATAGATTAAATTTACTCTTGTTTATCATAAAATATATTGGTCCTTACTTCTTTGGGCGATACTCCTTCTTCTGCATTCGTCGAAGAATCGTCGATATCGCTAGAGTCATCTAATGATTCTTGATGAAAAGCCTTGCATGCTACATCTACGAGCTGTTTCGGATTCATGTTGTACATAATTCTTTCAGCGTTCTCACTATCACCTCTACTTTCCATAATCGCTAACAATAATTTACTGGCATTATTCTTTAATTCCAGTACCAGATCCATTCTAGTCTTTCCCAAAGGATTGATATCATTCAGTATCAATGCCGTTATTATATCTAAGCCATTAGACTCGTGTGTGGCGATGCAATTTTGATTATCATGGCATGGTCCTTGACAGTATTCCGTCAACGTTTCTAAAGTTTGATTAATCAGCGCTACATTATATTCGTTAATATAAAGGCCAAGAAGGCCTAATCCACCGGTAGTTGAACCACAAATGCAATCCAAAAACATGAGCGTTTCCGACACAAGGTTGAAGTTCGTTTTATTATTTTGATTTCTTAGGAAATTCTGTGAAAGAACAAAAATATTTATAAATATCGCGAAATGTGTCATAATAAAAATATGAATTCTGATCAGATAATAGCACCTGTAATTCTCTATTGTGATTCTCACAGAGTAACTGTAAGAAACGCAGAATTGGTTGCATCACCAAAACTTTAGGACTCAATTGACCCTCTTCCTTCTCGCCACCAGATGAATTGCCACTTTTATTTCTGTCTGACTTTTCGCTTAAATCATCTAACGTATTATTTGCTGCATCTTCGCCAGGTGCAAGACCATTACGCATGTTTGCATACGCCTGTGCGTTAGACGCCGCGACTTGATTCAATTCCTCGCGCAGGTCATCGGTTATTACCATTCCATTAGGCTTTCCTGCA